CGATCCGATGGATCCTTTTAATACCTCCAGGATGCAAAATACCTGTTAGACGCAAGATGTCTAACACCCTTCTACGGTCCAACTCTCTTCGGGTCTTGACCCCCCTTATATAAGGTTCCTCTCGGTATCAGAATTCTTCGCTCGGATGACTTATTCATCGTATAAATCTGCCTGTGCAGATCCATAACGTGCCTCTCGAGGGCTGGTGACTGGTTCCTGAATCTTTATCCTGCTTCTCTGTTCGAAGTTTCTTAACCAGTTGCAGCACCTTCCCAGCTACCTTCGTTTCTACTCCGCTGACGGCTTGTCGAACCGAGGTAGAGGAAAACGCCATCGAGAAATTGCTGGGACGTCCCGATATTACTTTTCCCGCTGGAGTACTGACAGCCTCTGCGTATGACCGACGCACTGTGGCCGTGGGTAGCGACTTTGTTCCCGAATGTTCAGGGATGTTCTCTCTGTATGGTGTTTCTACCTTATGTGACTCACGTTGGAACGCAAGCCATGCCGCTTTCTTGCAGCGTATACATACCCACTTGGCCAACTTACTCTGGAAGTACAGTGAATACACTTCTGCACGGATACCGGAGCACTTTGGATAAGCTCATCTCTTGTTCACATCGCACTCAGTTCCCTTAACTACGCCTTTCCCGCACTCTTTATTGAGACACGGATAAGATACTGGTGGCATAATTCAACCAAAAAAGACTACAAATACAAATTTGTAATACTCCTAAGAATGTAAACCCCGAGTGAAATACACAGCAAAGACAAAACAGGAAAAACAATGCTAAAATAGTTACTTCGGAGAATATGAACTCCGGATATCTGAATATAATTCTAATGTACTAAAACTGAGTAAAAATTTCGAAATAACTGACGTTTCTTCACTGCAACAACGATAAAGTTAGCCAAAGCGCAGGGCACTTCAAAACTTTAGCCGCGCGGCACTCACGTCAAAATCAAAGATCAGGACATGACAAGACAGAACAGGTCAGAGGACTTGCGGCGGAGCCAGGAGCTGTCCAGTTTCTTGCATCACTGAGCTTGCGATCACCACGGCGCTGCGAAAATTGTGTTATTTCGTTCATGTAGACGTGAGTGAGTGCGGTTCTGGAAAAGGAAAACGCACTTCCAATGGTTCCTCGAAGTGACGGTGCACAAATTCAAATTCACATTTGAGGTTTTGCCAGGATCAAAGCAACAGCCTGCAACCCATCGCTCCGAGCTACCCAGGGTAAAAGATGTGTTGTGGAGAAGAAACGTGACCTAAAAGTGGTGGTACTAGATGTTAAGAAGTTTAAGTGGTGAACAGTCAATGAAAATGGAGCTGAGGGAGTTGGAGAAATCAAAGTGGAGTGTGAGATAAGAAGTTAATGTAGATAGGTAAACGG